TTTCTTTCCACTCAATTCCATTTTTGCAATCAAACGGGCCATTAGTTCACATTTCCACAAATCAAATGATTATTTGATACCACAACCAACCGCAGAGCAACTTTTTACTTTCTTTAAATTAATATCGGGAACCTCCTTGTTCGTTCAACCTGATATACCAACCACAAAAAAAGACGTGCATTTTTTGCAAGAAAGAAAATGTTTTCTCCTTTGTTCATATATCATGTCACTTGAAAGATCATTCAATCTCAAATTCAAGCCAAGATGGCTCAGTAGACTTAACGTATCACATGATTGTCACGGTACATAGACTGACAAATTCACAATTAACACAACTATGTAAAACTGCATTCAACTATTGTTCCACTGGGCACACTCAGTTCACACCAACTAAAAAAGCCATAGATGCAACAAAATTGGAGTAACAAATTAATTGTAATCACTGAAATTCAACAGAAATGTAATCACTGAAATTCAACAGAAATTCAAATTGTAGAGCTTGAATCTAGTATAACACAATTAAGCTTCAATCAAAAATACATGAAGGAAAAAGTGTAGACCTTGTTAAACCATGGGTCGTGGAGAATATCAGCTCCACGCTTGTGCACAATACACGGTCCATGAATCGCCGTCGAGAACCGCCGCGGCGACTGTCGGAGACTAGCCGCCGCACATCTCGCAACTCTCCACATTCTTAAGCCTTAACAATATCAAAAATTCCAAAACTCGACGCTTGAAAAATCCAAAACGAAGAATAAAAATAAAAACTCTCGACTTCAAGTCTCTTTCAAAGCACTCCAAAATGTGTGAATACACTAGATAGTCCTGATTAACAGCACAACTTCTGTGTGTTCGTGAGCCTGTGTATATATATACACACAAACTTCTTTGTAAATGTTGATTTTTGACATTTTTTGTTTCTGAAAACCCTAAAATATTGTAAAAATGGTACAGTCTAAAATATCACTTTTTTGAAGTTAGACTTCCCTTGTTTGGCGCACATTATCAACTCAGTAAGAGTTTGTTTGGTAGCAATTAAAATTAAAAATATAGTCGTTATTGGATTTCATTCATCTAATAAAAATCAATAGTTTTTCAATTTTAATCCGATTTTAATCTCTACCAAACAAGCTCTAATACTTTTTTGTTATGTGGTTGAAAAATAAGGAAAAATTATGGATATGATTAAAAATATTATTTTATTAAAAAATGTGTGGTTGAAAATGAGTACAAAAATGAAAATAAAAATAAAATAAAAACCGGGGTGTCAAGTTCAACGGACAGGGAAATATATCTGCCCGATTTATAAGGGCATGAGAGAAAATGTACGAATATTCGACGCCTGAATGGGATGGATGGCGATTGAGCTGCCCGGTTTAAAAGCTAGGGCAGCAAGGATATAACTGATATTTTTTGTCGGTAGGAAATTAATTTGGCTTCCAATTATAGAGGGTGGGGGACCAAAGCGGATGGATGCAACTTCATGCGATCAAATTCTTAGGCCATGTTTGTTTCAAATTAAAATCGAATTTTAATTTAAATTAAAGTCAAACAATCAATATTAATCATATCTTTCATAAATCTCACAACTTTTCAATCACACGTTTCAAAAACTTATATCACAATCTACTAAAATTTATTGTCGATTAGAAAAATTAACTCTTTAAGTATTTGATAAACTTTATTACAAAATTGTTACGCATTTTAAAATCAATATTTCACGCATTTAACGAACAATTACAATGAGGAATTAATTGTAAGAGCTTGTTTGAGAGGGATTGAAATCAGATTAAAATTGAAAATATAGCTGTTGGAGTTGACTTTTATTAGACGAGTGGGACCCAATAACGTCTATATTTTCAATTTTAATTGAATTTTAATCCGTCCCAAACAAGCTCTAAAATACCAACCTATTTGGGACAGAAAAAGAATTTATTTTATTCGTGAATTTAAATTTAATAAACACCAATAGTTCTCCCATGTTTGGCCCTCATTATTTTGCATTTTTTATGGTTGAAATTTTTTGGAATAGTGATTGATGAGAAAATGTGTGGTGAAAAAGTAATGAAAAGTTTATTTTATTTGATGAATATGTGATTGTAATAAAGAGAGAGAAAAATTTAATGTAACGTAACGTAATGAGGGCCAAACCGAGCTAAATATCGTCACTCTTTCAATAATGAGTGAAAAGGTTAAAAGTAATGCTTCATTAACTAATGCATTAAAGTTTGTACCGTTGCCATATCGAGAGATACATCTCTCCTAAAATTGTTGGAGAAGCTAGCATTTTACCCTTTTTTTTTTTGATATCCAGGTATCCTAACTTACACTAGACTATATCATGGACCACCCATCCCCGGCCCCTCAGTGATAGGTGGAGGTTAATCGCGGGATATGCCCAAATTGACCAGGGTCTGTGCACCCTTTATACTCCTGACCCCATGGGAGCCTTCCTCCATGGATATTACATTACCAAGCTGCTCCACTCAAATTGAGTATTACAACACTCAGCTGCTCCATCCAGGAATCGAACTCCCCACCCTGAGGTTGCAAGCTCAGCAATGCCCATCCTTTGCCAACTTGGATATGCCCCGGGGGGCACATTTTACCCATTATTTCTTTCGATAGTGGGATGTCAAGGGAAAGAAAATGACATCGCGAACTAACGCTTCGTGGCCGTCCAGTTAAAATATTTTTTTTCCTCCCTTCCACCCAAATGAATAACGAGACATAAAGGGCAATATTCTTGACCAAAAGATTTGACATTTTAATAATCCTGAGAATCAATCTCTACCATTGCTGCAAAGCAAAAAATGCCATTCTACAGCTTGAGAGTTACAACAAAACACAGGAAAATTTTTATGGAATTTTCAGTTACGATGGGTTGAATTGAATTAATCTCGGAGGTACTTACAAAAATACCTTTAAAATTAGAAGTGAATTGTCATTTTTTTACTTTTTTCAAAAAAAGTGACAAACTCAAAAAAATGATATAATTCAAAAAAAGTGACACACTCAAAAAAGTGACAAATAATTTTAAAAAGTGACAAAACACTAATCAAAACCTATGTTTGTTATTCAAAAAAGTGATTAAAATTTTTAAAAAGTAAGAAACAATAAAAAATGAAAAAAAAATCAGAAAAGTGGAGAAAAAAGTGACAAACACTCAAAAAAAATTACACACACACACAAAAAAGAAAATTGTCATTTTTTACACGGCTTACTATTTCAAAGAGTTAAATGCTTGTTTGACCATCTATATTTTACTTTATTGTTTGTGTTTGCACAATGCTTCCGCTACCCTAAATCCATCCCACCCATCAGCAACCATCTTCACTACCAGCACTTCCACCGGTTGTACCTCCACCACCAGGAGTTTCACCGCCAGAACTTCCACCGATTATACCTCCACCACAAGCATCCCCTGCACCTATCCAACAGCCACCGCCAAGACCAGCCCCAATAATAAAGGCACCCGCTCCCGTTCTCGCACCTACAATACCCCCACCAACGGCACCACCAGTGCTAATGCCGACACCACCAGCGTCAATGCCACCACCACCTCCTGCATCACCAACCCCAGCACCAGCACCAGGTTTTGGTTCTCTCGCCTGCATCAGCATCTGGTATGCACAAGAAAAGGAAGCATAACCACAGACATCATCATGCACCAGCACCTGCACCGACTGACCTGAGTCCTCCAGCACCACCCACAGTTCAAGATACCGAGGAAACAACGCCAACACCATCTCAACAGTTTCCAACCCTCCACCTCACCTATCAAGAATGACGGATCCGTGGTTTTGGGACGATCTGGGGATTTCTCTTCGTAGTCGTATTATTTACGGCAATTACAAGTTTTAATTTGGTTAAAGCGTATTAATCTAATTTGTTTTATTTTTGAAGTAACTGGCCTAATTTCCCCTTAATCTCAACCCGTCTACCTTACAAAACATGTCCGTTTGCTATCGAGTGACGGCAAAAATAGAGTGCAATTGTCAAGAATGTGCTGATAGAGGGCAAATCTTGAAGCAAGAATAACTGAATTGGACTACATTTTGTGAATCTATTGGCTGCATTTAATGCCACAGGAAGAGAATAAGACCGAAATTTTGATACTAGTGCTAGTGCTGCACCTTCTTAATCACCCAAATGGAACTGATTCCAGGAACTTGTATTCTCCTCCTAGAGCATGACTATTGAAAGATTACTATCATTTCCATTCCACCTTTTTGATTGGAATAAGAGTCGTTTTGACAAGTGAGGTTGGCCCTTCCTCAGATATGAGTTGAAGAAAGAACCTCCCAAAAAGGACACTACTGAAAGAAAAAATGCTTTCAATATGTAAAAGGTTCTCATCTGCTACTGCAAACACATTACATGCAACGACCAGTCAAACAAGCAAGCCTTGTATTTTCGGGTTCTAGACCCTGGAAAGACTCGCCCCAGTTTTGCTTCCTACGTGGAAAAGGCCTCTACAATGGTTTGCACGAGTCTTGCATACATGACACAAAACCCCTTTTTCCCCGAGCAATGTGCAAAAAATAATAATAACAATAATAAAATATGACCGGCTTTCGCAATGTAGCAAAAGATCAAGTAAGCATTCCACTTCTGTCTTCCACTTCGAAGCCACAAAGGGAAAGGTATTGCAAAGTTTCTCTACAAGTACTTGAAACAACTAACAGAAACACTACAATCCTGCATCCCCAGGCCATTCATGATAACCATAAACACAGAAAACCACTCACTATGGCATCATGACATGACGTTAAGTAATGTAATCCTTTTCACGTGCATGCAGTTAGTTGTGCGTGATTAGTTTATATTAGCAACAAGTCTATAAACTCCCAAAGCACAAGCAGTTTCAGTCTTCACGCCAAAATAATTTCAGCAATGGCTCGAGCATTCAACACTCAATCAGACTTGGTAATGAAGGAAATGAAAACCATATAAAAATATCCATTCAGCAAAGAATAATGGTGACAATTCTTTTAAAATCATGAACTGGATTCAGCATCAAGTGTCAACCTGACACCTTTTGCGTATGAAATTGGAGAAATATGCAGCGTCTGAATCAGCTTAGTGATATCCATGGAAATATCAGTAGGGGATTTGACGCCTCGATCAACCTGAAAAGTTAAAACTGAAGTTTCAGACAACATTTGAGAAAGAGAGAGTGTAGACCACCCCAACGAGCTTATTCAAAATATTGCTTCTCTAGAGGGAAGCGCATTGTTCATTTATCATATCAATTTATATCACCACCAAAGCAAAATTTAGACAAAGGAAATGAAGCATTAATATAGAAAAAGGAAGATGTTATTGGACGTAGCATTTGAGAGGAAGTAATCATTCCCGTATCATGGTAGAAGTATGTCTAAAAGAACAGATGATAGTATACATACAGATGCTGCAGAGACTGGTGTGATCAACGACATGTTATAATTTCTAGCATGGGCAACAGCCTCAGCCATTTGAACCCGGGATACCCTATCTGGGCCGCCAACATTTAGAAGCAACTGCATTTGCTTACCCTCTGCATATGAATCATGAGTAAAATAATACCAGGATGCAAAAGCAATTAATAAAGCACTAAAGCAGAATAGCAGGAGACTACAACTTCAAACCAGGAACCACAAACAGAACAGAACACCAATCTGGAAATGGATAACTTTTGCATTATCAATATAAAACGTGTGCAATTGTCTTTATATTTATGTGACAGTCATTGCATACATGAATTTATGGAAGCTTTTCAGCAGATCATATCAAGTGTTGAAAGAGCATAGAGCTCAATACTTCTATTTTGTTTTTTTTCCTTGCTTTCAGGAAAATACGGAACCTCATCTATGGAAGTCATAAATCAAACTCTTATTTGTATCAGTGTAATTCTGACAAAAAGTTTCCATTCATTACAAGAGAAAGAAGATCAAGAATTCCAGAACAACATGTCGAACAATATAACATTAACCAAGAAATTTGAACAGTAAGAAAAGACTAAATGTTAGTCTAGAAGTTCTCCAGTGGCCCTCCATTTTAAAATTAAAAGTAAGAGAAATGCAGGTGGCAATGCATCTTGAAAATAAAGTTCATGACAATAGAGGATTTACCAGCACTGTTTGAATATGGTCTCATCGTTATTACTAGATGCCTCCTTTTTCAGGGTATGTAAATGATTCATAACCAACCCACACTAGAATGGAGAAGCAAGAGCATGTTCCATTGACATGTTTCAACATGCAATAGATTGCACTACAAAAGGGAATATTCAAGTTCTTGACGCCGGGCAGAATAGTGAATCTTCATAATCGCGATTCTGTTAACCGTAGACAAAGTTATGGCCAAATTACCGAAACACGACTCAATTGTCAAAGTTACGCGATCACTTGCCATCCTTGTGCCTATCTGCCAACTCGTGATACCTTAGAGCCATTAACGTATTATCTGACAACTCAGCATCTGACTCGGACCCTCCTACATCAGTTCTCATGTGTGCTACCTCAATGAAAATATGCATCTATTAAAGTATTAACACAGGATCGTTTTTCTTCTTTCCTTTCAAGCACGGCAGCTAAGGCGATTAAGCTTCAAACTCAATGCATATAAACCACACAGCAACAGACAAAGTTCACAATACCTACCCCACTGAACCTAAATGTAAGATAAAGACACTAAAGGAGGAATAAGCACGAATGCAAGGTACTAAAATAAAGCACATAGGACAGAAGCCATCTTAACCTGCAATCCATCGGTCAGTCAGTGTCCGTATGACAGTGACAAGATCCTTCACATAGACAGGGCAACGAAACTCGTCATGAAAGAAATCTAGTGGCTCCCCCTTAGAAAGAGCGCTATCCATCCACTGCATTTTATACATCTTAATTATCAATTTAAAACAAATACTCTAGTTTCAAAAGTACAGATTGAGAACAGAACTAACATTATTGTGATCCCAATTCAAGTGTACAAATGAGTTTCTTTGAATTCCCCAACAACATACAGTTTACAAAGTATTCAAATATAAAAACATGATTGATCCATCTATACAACTATGTTAACTGCTTTGGTGAGTCAATCTAACTTAAACTATCTCTAACAGAGTTTGAAAAGGGAACTAAAAACAATCCAATAAATAGGCGGATCCTTTTTTAATAAAGTTAAGCTACTCATTAGAAAGTATTCACTAAACAAACATACTGTTGATTGAGCACAAGTATATATCAGAGAACATATATTTTAATATTAACACGCACATCAAGCGTATATTGTTAGCTAGAGACTGTAGAAAGCTTTCAGAGTAATCATCTAAACATAATTATGTTTATCAGTAAAGCTAAATGCTAGGTTTTCTTTACAGTTCCTGTCCTACTTTATGTTTCACACTCATGAGTCGAACACGACTCAGCTGCGGATCTTCATTACTATCTTTTATTATGATCAAAATATAATGTTAGAATGTATTTGCTCATCAACAATTTTGCAATGAGTTGCTTGTTTTTCAAATCTTCAATAAAAATTACAACATTTTTAATTGGATCAATAGTCTCATATCTAATGTCCCTTCGGTTTACAGCTAGGTACACATAAGGTTATCACCTTGTTTCTCTGAAAACTTGCAACAAGGAATATACATTTTAATATCTGCATATTCACTGGCACAGTATTGCAAGAAACTACTAAAAGTTCAAGAGCGGCTGTCTTATAATTAAATGTAAATAGATACTTTCAATATCACACATAATAAAGTTAAGCGCCTGTCTGGGCACAATTGTTGGGAAGAAAATGGATTTTGGCATCAACTCAAGGCCCCACAAGGTAATAAAGCTGCTGTTGTGCCAATTATTTTAGAGTACATGACTTTCAAAATATTCCAAAAGTCCATAATACCCTTTAATGCAACTGTGTTTGAATAAAGGATTTTGTCTGATCCGGCAACAATATTGGCAATTGACCCAGACAACGAATAATTGGTATAGAAATTGTCTGCAAGGAATCAGAGTACGTAGACATTTTTTGTGTCCAACGGACATATTTTTGCTTTTAATTCCAGTCTAATCAGCCCCAGACAAGCGTTAAAACAGTAAATTAATGTACTCTCCACCCACCGAAGGACAAAAGGGCGAGGGCAAAGAAAAATTTCTTATTTTCTTTGCTTCCCGTGGTCTGTTTTTAGACATACAAAACTTCAATCTGATGTATAAGCATTTAAATTTATCATTCCATTCCTTAGGCAACTGTAATGTGAGTTCAAAAGAAAAATAGTCATTGTAGAATATGATATTCATATATACTGGAGGGCGTTGCATGAAAAATATGGAAGTATCTACATTTAATTGTTAGAAATTATGAAGTTACAGAAGTACAAAACAAGATCTGCCTGTACATGCACCTGAATTGGAAGTGACTTTGGAACAGGTGAGATAGTTTGTGGTCCATAGATTATACTGCTTCTCAAAATTGCAAAGTTTGAGCAGTTTGCATATACAAACTGCTCTGCAGCCACTTTAGACTTCCCATAAACATTCACTGGAACAGTTTCATCTTCTTCCTTATAGAAGGGCTTCGTCCCTTCATAAACTGCAGCAAAGTCAAATTTGTTTCAATTTAGCCAACGAAGAATATGAATATAATTTTTCTTTGTGTTTTCTGTGGTTTTATCTCTTTTCCCTTTAGGGTCTGTAGGTTTGCAGAGGCCGTGAAGAAACAAGGAAAAGAACTTGTAAAAGAAGCGAACCATGAATCTTTGGTAATAACTGGAAGCCAAAAGCAATTAGAATTCATAAAAATACAAGAACAGGATGTATTACAATGATTCAACACAGATAGAGCTATAGAGTGCTTCATCTTGTGCAAATTTCTGACGAGGATTGGAATGCCATGATCCCTTGTTTAAGGAATTAAATAGATCATGATGTGAATTAAGCAAAATTCATTTTCTTAAATTTGGAACGAAGTTTTTCAATTCTGATAAATGCACAAAATGAAGACAGGAGAACGACATGATAATTCTTCCAGGTGATAATAAAGCCCTTCCAAGAAAAAATATAGTCTTATAAAATTAATTCTAGAATGAAAGACGGAAACCAAATTAACATAGAAGCCACGCTTTCTCATTGAAAAAATAAAGAAAGAACCAGTGAGAGCTCATCAAGTTGGTGCTATGCATAAATGGATATACATTTTCTGTCTTTGGAAACTATAGTTCAGAATTGCACAACAACAGATGTGAGTAACCTTGATCAGTTGATAAATGAATCAGAAGAGTATTTTTCCCACTAAAGCTTGATAGCCATTTTATAAGAGCAGTAGGAATATTAATAGACATGGCAGCTGCAGGATCCATCTCGCAGGCGCGAGGGACGGAAAGAGCAGCACAATTAACCACCACATCAGGCTGTAATACAAAATTAGCATATACTAGTCAGCAATTTTATGAACCAGCCTAATTCCTGGCACAAAAAATGAAGACCTTGAATGTTAATTAAAAAATAAATAAATAAATTATCTATTGTAATAGAGATTTATTTACTCATAATTCATAAGTGATCTTCTGTCATTAAAAGAAAGTGTCCAATTTTTCATCTTTTACAGTGATTTGTGAACATTAAACTCTTGCACTAGTTTTAAACAGTACACAAAATATCACTCAAATGCCGTCAAAACCCATCACTAGAAACCTTCAGGGTTCAATAATGCAGTACAAATTTTCTTCAAATTTTCATCCAAACCCTGTTCCCGGACACACGCCAATTTTAAAATAGAAATTAACAGTAAACAAAAAATTTAGCTATCACAAGGATTTAAAAAATGTAGTACTTAAAAATTATATGCCAAAAAATGAAGAAAAATGTATGAAGGATCAAACCGTCTAGCAGTACATACTAAACAAGCACAAACTAATTATAAAAGTAGAAATGAATAACTGCTTAATTACTAAGTAGCCATAAAAATCGTGTGTTACCTGGCCCAATGTTTGGGTGACGGCATGGAGGCCATGGCCGGTGCGCAAATCGACTTGGAAAGGAAGAGCGTGAGGAATGGCACGGATTAGTTGCTGAGGAGGGGGATTAGTATGGTGGGTAAATGCAAGAGTATATGGAGATCTTTGTTGGATCTCAGTGAAGGATTGCAAGAGGTGCTGGCCTAAGTAGCCTGTGCCTCCAACAATCAGCACTCGTTTCTCGCACATCTCTCTGTATCTCCCCTGTACACACGAACTCGCCGGTTTATTTCAGCCGATGTCCAATTGTTTCCGAATGTAACACATACCGAAACAAATTTTGCTACCAGTAGATTGATAAACTCATAAACATCGTGTCCTTAAAAAGTATGGATTTTTTTTTTTTTTATTTAAGTATAATATCATTTTAATGAAGAACGAGTCGTTGAAAAAAAAGAAGAAAAATATATTTTGGCAAAAATAAAAATCAAACAAATTTTGTTAGGATATCCTTAAATAAGTATTTTTTTATTGATTAAATTTGGAAATAAGTAAATTGTGATTCTTTTAAAGTAAGTGACATTTTTACTCATGAGTAAATTATCTAAATATTTTTTTAGTTGAAGTCCATCTAAGCTTAGAAAAGACATTATTTAAAAATATTACTAAGTGGGTGTTTGATGTGTATTATTATTATTATTGAGTAAATAATGTATTTTAAATAGTGATATAATGGGAAATATGTAGTTAAAAAGTAAAGAAAAATTATTGATGTGATGAAAAATATTATTTTATTGAAAAATATGTGGTTGAAAATGAGTTTTGAAAAAATATATGTTATACAAGGGCTAAAGCATTACTTTTATGGGGCCATCATGCAAAGTTGTAGACAGCTAGCTTATAGCACCTATAGTCTATTTAATTTATTTTTTATACTCATTTTTAATCATGCATTCGTACAATAAAATATTGTACACGTAAATTCAAAAAAAATCTTATTTTTTAATCATACATTTTTCAAAAAATATTATTCAAATTGTCGAGATGATGATGGCAATGGGTTTGTTGAAGAAACACACAATGCTATCTTGGGAGGTAGCTATAGAGCGATTTTTGAAAGCTGCAGAGCTGGACGTCGTGCGTGTAACAACCCCGCTACATGGACAAGTTCATTGACAAGGTCTTTCCCGACTGATGTGGCATGCAGATAAAAAAAGAAAACAAATTGGAAGACTTCTCCAAACGTAGCGACTCCTTCCTCCAAATCCACATGTACCACCCATACAATCATTTCTACCCAAATCAAGTGCCACACTGTCACCATCTCCGGCTGCACGCCAATCTAAGGTATCATCGCTCCTCCGACAGCACTTCCATCTACTATTCTGCCACTGACATTTTGGATCTCCCGTCGCACTGTACTCGAAATTTTTTGCTCTACTTCGACTGTTCTTCTTGTCGTGGCTAATTGTAACTCTGTATAAGATGAAAAACGAAGTTAAAAATTGTTAGTTTGCTACGAAATCGTATTTTCTCCAATTTCTCCTTCTCTACTTAGTTGTGTTCCACTCCTTTTGTTATTCTTCTTCTTCTTCGCGGCTAAGGTATTGTAGTTCCCCTTCTCTTATCTAATTCTTTTCTTTATCTATATCATTTTTTTATTTTCAATTCATCTTCTCTGAATCTATCTCCATTTCTCTGTCTCTTGTTACTCTGCTGATACATCTCTCTGTCTTTAATATTTGTTCTTGTACTTGTAATCCCCTGCATTTTAACGGAACTTATCAATCAATGAAACACAATTCACATTTCGTTAATGGTCTGTAACTTCTCCTTCAATGAAGCTGGGTTATTGAATTCATGTTTAGTATCGTATATTGTTGTTGATTTTGTTTGGAACCTGTTCAAATGCTATTGACCTACATGACTGAAGCTTTGACAATTTTTGTTGGAGAATTTCATGTTATTTCGAGAATTAGTGGACGAAGAAGAAAATGTCGTTAAATTGAATCTTGTCAATGTGTCGTGTGTTATGGAATTACAAATCTTGTCTACGTGTCGTTGTTTTTCATCTTCAATCATCGTAGAAACGCATTTTGTTTGTGTGTCTACTTTGTAGTTCGTATGTTCATTATGATGGTTGCTTAGAGTTTCTCCCCTTAAATTGTAATTTAGTTCCTTGTCATTGCATGAATTGGCATACCGAATTAGCTTTTGCTGGAGTTGGCATTGCTATGTGGTTCATTCCCATCGTAAAATGGTCGGAAGAAATGCTGGAATATGTCATAGTTGTAGATCTAAAAGCCACTATTTTGTTGAATGCCACGAAAACACCGATGTCAATCATGCAAGCATGGATTTGAGAAGTGTTTCGTGGTGGAGAATGAGACTACAAATAAAGGTTGATTACTTCTTTGCTGTAGTAACAATTGTGGATTTTAGGATTAGCTTGTCAAAGAAAAATCAAGCAGTGAATCCTCCAGTGGTAGTACTTCCTTAGTTAACCATGCGGCGGCCGAAAGAGTTGACGATATGTCGCACATGTTCCAATCTCGCGTTCGCATCAATGATGAAGTAGACCTTCAGATTTCAATGAACGTGACGGCATCAAGGCAAAAGGTAGCAAGGAGTCGAATACATGAGTGGAGGGGTCGCCTTGATTAGTAGTTATTAATCGAATGGTTACACGAACTTTTGTATATGTAAGATTATTATGATCGAATTTATGTGAAATATGTTCGTAAACTATTTGAATGTGAACGGGTAGTTTTGCATCATTTGAAGCTTTGTTGAGACACTATTTGTCTTGTACATTTGTATCTTGTGACCTAGAAGAACTGTTAAGTGTTGGATTACTATGTCCCGTGTTAAAAGACTGATTGTCTTCCTATGAAATTTTCTTATTTATTTTGTTTACCATAAAGATGATTGTGGTCTAATGATTTGATTTTGAATGATTAAAATTGTTTTGTTGCAAGTTCACTTTCATTTCCCATCTTTTTTAAACTTTTGGTAGCCTTTTGTATGTTCATCTTTCTCACCGATGAATAAGAATTTTAAGTTTTCTGTAACTATCAATGTTGGAATACTATGAAGAGAAGAAATGATGTCTTTTGTTTTGTTTCAGAAAAATCAAACATATGGAGGAATTGCAAGGGTGATTTTTATATTTTTTTCCACCGAGCATATAATACCATTTAAACATTTATATGTTTCTACTATATTGGATTTTCACAAGACATCGTCCTTCATTTAAGAGGATCTAATGCTGTAGTACAGCAGATACAAGCGCTACACAATCATAGCATTAGACCAAGCAATGGACACAGGTAAAAGAACAATGGAAGGAGAACAACACAAATGCATTAATCACCAGCAGAAAAATGAGGAGCAAAAAGAGCACATTGACTAATCATTAACTGTTCTTTAGTATTCAACATCCAATGTCAGAGAATTTTCAACTAGCATTCACCACCAAGCAAGACCTTCTACACTATTATATTGGACATACATAAACCCAATCCGACAGCTGGTACCAAAAACCAAGAACTGAAAGCAACTGGAAACTAATCTTAAAATCGTCATCCTTGAGCATGATTAGTAGACTATCAACATAAATAATCATCAACTTTCCCGGTATTCAAAAGGGGTCAGATTAATAGATAAAGTCCCTGATCATCCACGGTTACCAAGGTGTCTTACACCTGATCTTTGAATAGATAAAGCTCGACGTGCTTCCATATTTGTNACCTGATCTTTGAATAGATAAAGCTCGACGTGCTTCCATATTTGTCATGTGAGTAAATGATAAAAAATTTAACTGAGAACGAGCTTAATTTCTCTCCTCACTTAGAACACTTGCACCATAAGAATACCCATCAAACTCATACCATGAATACATTAACTGACAATGCATTAACAGTCTACTGAAATAAATGTACAGAAGAAAAAAAACATTGAAAGATTACAAAAAAAAAAAAAAATGTGATGCCTCGCGAGATGTCATTGCTTGTGAATTAGATTTGATCTTGCAAGGACCGAACAATCTTTGACATACAAGGACTTGACGTCTAATATTTTTTCCTTAAGCCACCTTGGTCTGGTAAATGCGGATAGTAGTACGGCATTGCTTCACCTACCATACATGAGAACATTAAATGTGCATATATGAAATAACTACACATCTGAAGTTTAAATGTCTTCCACTGTTCTTACCTTGCGAACTGTATATAACATTTGCTGATGAATAAGGGATCAAACTCGAAGATGGTAGTAGTCCTGAAAGGGATAATGGTCTTGCAACAGAATGTTGTGATAACAGGAATGTTGTCGGCACAAAATACTATAAATATAAGAATGGTGTCTGCACGAAACAATGCTGTGGTTGAGCTAATTGATTGTCGACTACACTCTTTGCCATATCACTTTGCCTCATTCTCGGGCGCTTCCCCTTACTTGATACCGAACTGCCAGAATGTGGATCGAATGTAGTTAGTGTTAATTTTTCGACACATTTGAAGTTCATGGCCTAAGGTGTTAACATACCTTGGCTTTCTTAGTGCCCCTCCAAAGTAGATATGATATCACGGTAAACCTTCCCCGTGAACTCATCATGAGCTTCCCTAAATTTTGAAATTGTGTAAACTGATTGAAACTGCTGCTCCATTTCGTATTGTGTCGCACACGGTAAAATTTGTGAAAATGACTTGAAATCAGCTTGGAACTACTTCTCAACTTTATTACACAATGCTCGTTCATAATGTTCGACGAACTGCTTCAATGAGGTCTTGGAATGCACATACCCATCGAAAAATACATTCATACTCTTACTTCTTTGTGTTGTTGATATCCTTGCCCAGAAACTAGTTTTCAAAAAATAAGAAACCCAACGACCTCTGTTCTCATATAGTCCGGACAACCAATCATTATTCTGCAAGGCATAAATATCAATGAAAGCAGCCCAACCTTCTTCAAATTCTTGAACAAACTGCAAACATAAACCAATATGTGTATTGCCCGAAATATCGATGCCTTATCATCGTGGTATCCAAACTTTTCAAGCAACTTCTTCAGAACGTGCCACAAATACCATCTATGCATTGTGTTTGGAAAAACGATATGAATTGCATTTTGCATTGCCTTGTCTTGATCGGTAATCCTTCCAAGCGGTGCTTTATCATGCATAAACTAAAGCCATGTTCTGAACAACTACACAAAAGTATGTGTCTTCATTCGATACCAAACCACAACCAAGCAGTGTTGACTGTTCGTGATAATTGACACCAACAAAATAGGCAAAAGGCATGTCATACTTGTTTGTAAGGTAAGTGGTATCAAATGTAACAACATCACTGAACTCCTTCTGCGCTTGCCTACAACGATTATTTGCCCAAAATACATTCCTCAGCCGCGAATCATCGTCAAAATCCATGTTGAAGTAAAATCTCGAGCAGTGTTTGCATTTTCAAAAAGTATGATTGTATTGTTGCAGCATCTCCTTCTCTAAGTCTTAATCATTTCACTTTTTGAATGTAATTTCGACAATCATTTTCCACGCAACTCATGTTCTCATAACCACCGACTTCTACAACCACATAATTGTAACTTTGATGCAATGGAATTCCTGCCAGTTCATTCACTTTTAGCTTGCATTTCACATGTGCGCTTAACTCTCTATTGCATCGAAATAACCTGGACTTTGACGGGCTAGTTTCATGATTGTGGTCGAGGTAGACCGTGTTAATTTTCCCGACTTCATAAATATATGCAGATGCATAGATTCTAGCTTTATAGCCCATCTGAATTGTTGGTTGTAGCTTCAAAGATTCACTAGTATCACCAAGTCTTTGACCTTCGCGGCTACAGGTCAATGTCACATATCTCAATTCTCAATCATTTCCCCTTGCTTCTCATGTTTTCGAGTTTCTTTTCTTAACGAGAAAACCAACGGCGTGCGCATATTTTTTGTACAAGTTAAACATATCCTTCAAATCCTTAAACTGCATACCCACCTCAGGTACAATCACACCGTCTCCCAATGAGGTCTCGCCTTGTACTATGTCAACGAAGTCAATCCCGTTCTCATCATCCGATTCCACCAAAACATCATCATGTTCATTTGGCACTTCGTCCATAATTTCTTCGTCAGCAATAACATAATTGGTCACTTTCAATAATACAGTTAATAACACTACGATAGGTAGCTAAAAAATTATTCTCAAACACGTTCTTTACTTCAACAGAGTGCATATACTTATCAACAAAATTATAACGTAATGAAAATTTAGTACATAATTCATGGGATACATATATCAGTTTCTAAAATGAAATAATTAAACAACCAGGTTATATATTGTTACAGAACTTGGTTAACTGATATTCAAAGAATCAGTGTTAATTGATCTTTAAAGAACTTAGATTATAAAGAACTTTAAGAACTATATATAATTCTTTAACCAAGTTCATATTCAAGGAAATATTTTTTAAAACCTTAAAAAACTATATAGAATTATAGAACTTGGTTAACTGATATTCAAAGAACTTAATAGTTAAAGAACCACCTTAGGAAACTTACTAATTTTAAGTTTTTTTTTGCTCAACCCAAACAAGGTGAGAAACTTCATACGCAAAGAACCGAACATGAGTCAGAAACTTACTAATTAACGGACATTTTCTTCTCTTCGTCAAATCGGTACCTGCCAGAGATGTCTCTCGAAATAATATGGGGAAAAATCGCTTACTAATTAACGGACTTTTTCTTCTCTTGGCTAGACCGGTAGCTGCTGGAGATGTCACGCCAAATAATCTCCCCCGAAATCGGATTCTAACATTTTCAATTTGGGGAAAAATTTATGGATTTCTGTTGTGTTATTTTTCCCATTTTTTGCTGTGGGTGAATTTCAAAACAACTCACTCTCACTTGTATTACTCTCTCTCCCTCACGTGTTAATTTTTCCCCCCACTTACTATCCTTTACACGTGGGACAATTTAAAACCCTGTCAAGAGGGTGTCATTGACCCTGTCCTACAAGATTAATTGTGCATATGAAGAAACTGACCAAGATACCCTCAAAGCTCATCGTGTCCACGTCTTTCAATTTGCAGAGGAATCTTGAGGATGCACCTGTGATGGTACATTATTTGGGAACTGGTTTTCCAAGTTCACAACAACAAGAAGAGCAATGTAAAGAGGGTGGAGTGTCTGTATCTCCCCAAAAACATTGATACATATAAAAAAAAATAGGCTATCTAAGATTGATTGTCCCGCTTCATCAACTAGCCCCCGTAAACAAAAATATGAAACGCCTAATCAACGATCCATTTGTATCCAAACACATATAGCAAGATTGATAGCTAGTTACTAGTTTGTGCACAAAGTGATTTCGTCTGGTAAATGTAAACGACATGTAGAAGTGGATTTGTCGAACTTTTGTGTTAGTTTAGCCAATTTGAACTAAGCATCCTCTCTTTCTCAATGAGACTTTAGTTTTGATATTTTTGCTTTTCCTTCATAACTCATTCTTTATACAGAACACGGTAGCTGCATTTGACATTTTTTAGTCCAGTCATTTTTTCAAGTGCAACGACATTAATAAACTTTGGACCTTGTAACTCAATTCTCGAGTAATATTAATTAGCATTCATTTCATATTTTAATGAAAATGCAGTTTCGCGAAAAGAATAACACTATAATTTCTATACGTCCCATAAAAAAATATATATATATTGGTAATGTTGTGTATTTATAATATAGAGTCGGTAAAACTATCCATCCTGGTAAAACAACATAGCTTTCACTAATTACTTGCCTGATTTTACTGCTAAGCTTTCCCCTATAGAAGTCTTCATCTGTTGCTGATTATCTAGACTCGTAAACTAATAGTGCTACAAAAGTAAGATTATCAATGAACCTGTAAGGGAAAAAAGCAGCAATTAGTGAAATCAAAAGAGAGCAGAATTAGAGTGTGAAAGTCTAATTATCAAGTGCAGTTTACTTTACTCCAATATACGAACAGCATTTTAGCAAAAGATAAGCCATCGTTCATCAGTCAAATCCATCTCTACCTAGTAAGACATACCACTAGTAACTGATTAAACAGAAAAGGAACTTCTTTAGTAAGCTAATTACTCTGTTAATAATGTCAATACACAGTATAATGCCCTTTGATTGAGAGTTGAGATTGACAAATTTGGACCGAATGGAATTACAGTATAATCTCTATAAGTTAATCCTCCAGTAGAGAATTAATAACTCTATTATATAATAAAATTTCTCGATCACAACTTCAAACGGAACTGGAATTCAGAAAGATTCAGCCGGTACGCCGAGTAGTACATTGCCATAATTCTCCATTAATCTTTTAACTGGCCAAAAATTGTCGATTTCCTTTGTAAACAAGCATTAATTAAGAAAATTAATAAGTAAACCAAAGTTGATATGATCCATACTGACTAGCAGAAGAGATTTGCAGACTGTGGGTGTGCCAAGTTAAGTTCTGCTACTGAATGAGATCACATACTTCTGTAGAAAAAATGGCTAAATTCAAGAAGATTTTGTCAAGCTATCTGAGTCATGATCTGCATGGTTGGAATTAACAACCGAGTTTTTGATGTCAGTACTTTCAGACTCCCACAAAACGTCAAATGCTCGTTCCAGGCATTTCCCCACAGATTTAATGGCAGCATTTTTTTCAAGCTTCTGATATTTGAGTGAAGAATGGAGAGGTCGTCTCAAAGCTTGATATTGGTCATCCACTGCGTTAGGACTTTTATGTGCTTCCAGAAGCAAGTTGCTCAAAGAATCCATAATTTTATCTGGTGCCTCAGAAGTACTTTTACTGCACGCTTGTTGAGAAACTTGAATTGCTCGTTTTCTAATGATGGATGGCTTGTTATCATAACTTACTGCTGCAGTCTTCAAAATGGACTCTGGGCTGCTGTGTGGAACCTGTGTTACTTTCATACAACTTGTTGGAGTAGAAATTGGTGGCCTGATATAACTATCCGTACTTGGAAATCTACCGCTTGACATGAAAATTTTCATATCATCCTCCCGAAGTGGCTGATAGCATAAGCCTGCATAAGATTTTTCTATCAGACTTTGGTGCACTTCAGTGCAATCACATTTATAACTCCTCCCCTTTGGCAAGGTTGAACAGGGAAATGCCTCCTTTTTACTGGTTCTATTGTTGTTAATCTCTTTTGGGGGAGAATTCTTACATTTTGGCTTGTATTTGGAAGGAACTGCTTGAGGCAAGGAGCTGCTTAACTCATGCTTATGACAATAACCATGGTCTAACACTTTGGACTGCTTAACTTCTGATATGTCGGTACTGTGACTTCCGTAGTGAAACATTTCTATTAGATTGCAAGTAGATGATAGTAGTTTCATTGGATAATTTGCCTGTCCACTCAGAACAATTGTAGAAGATCCATTCTCAGAAGACTGCAGATGAATTCGAGTTCTTTCTGGATGTCCAAGAAACAAATCAAGGGAACCCGAATCTCCATTCCTTTTGTTATCCACCTTCTGGTTGGACAAACAATGTGGTCCAGGAGTATGCAAAGCAGGGATATCGAATCCTGGATGATTTAAAGCGAAACCGCATGCCGTGGAGTTAGCAAATTTCTTGTTGAGAGAGCAATTCCAACGATTTTTTATTGAGTTCTCCGGCCTAGCACATTTCCACAGTAAAAACTTAAGAAAGTTCAGTTACTCAATTTTTTTTTAATTAAAGAAGCAACATAATCCAACATTAACTATAAACAACCACCTTACAACATTTTAGTAAATGGTGAATTAATTTAAACTCCTTGTAAAACTAAATAATGTTTAAATAGACATTTTGACGCAAAAAATTTGATTTGTGTTTTCAGAGTACACTAATAGATTTTTCATTTTCATTTCGAGTCAAAATCATCACTTGTCAGTACTAATAGTGGTTGAAATTCTTGAACTAAATATACCTTCCTGGCAAAAGCTTTGTCATTTCGGCCCATTTGTTTCCATATACTGCATGAGCATTTATAAGAATTTCGTCTTCCTCTTTGGTCCAAGCACCCTTGTTTATTTCTGGATTCAAATGATTGTGCCATCTAAGACAGTCGCAAGAGTGTTAAACTTCTGATAAAACAACGAAAGGAAACGTTGCGTGTAAGGAAATAACCATATTAATAAACATGTAAACACAATCAATTATGTCTATTCAGCCATTTCAGATCCTAGAGATAAAGCGCTTGAACTGGTTTTTAGCTACCTGTCTCGACATTGCTTTCCTATACGGCCTGGAAGGTGTTTTGCTACTTCAGACCATTTTTTGTTACCCTGTTTGCCAACTAACTCAATAAGAACATCATCTTCCTGTAAAAATGGAACAGGAAACAAAACTTCAATCATACATCAATGAAGAAAATTGTCCTCAACAGGGCAAACAAATGTCAAACTCAAACCTCCTTAGTCCAGAGTCCTTTATTAAGTTCAGGGTTAATAACTTTTTGCCAGCGATGCAAGCACTGCACATCTGTTCGACCAGGGAGGCATTTGGCTGCAAAAAATCTTACTCACTTAAGGAAGAAAAATAAACAAGAAAATTGTCTATTGCACTATCCAGTACCGCACATCAAATATGAACTAATTTTGCTGAAAACCCTGAAAGAGGAATTTTATCAAGGCATGGAAACAACATAGAAATGCTTCATTAAAACTTGCCTATTCCTTTCCAGCACTTTCCATTAAATTGTTGAACTGCATCTCGCAAAGTTTCATCCTGTTCACGTGAAAGAAAAAACACAAAAAAGTTATTGGGCAACACATATTTCTATTCAAATTCCTTCAACTATCAAATAATTATTACCATACAAATATGAGGAAGTTATTAACAAATCCCAGTTAAATATGTCGTAATCCACTAAGTTCCAACATATACTAGAATACAATATCAACTATGAATAATATTAAGAATACACTCGTGCAGAGGATGAGAAACTACTGACCTCTTCCTTTGTCCATTTCCCCTTTGACAATGTTCTAGCTGTCACTCTTGTATTCCTACAGTAGTAAAAAGAAGAAGTTAAAAATCATAGATTCTAACTACTCAATCTAGTCTTTTCTTCTCGAGTCTCAGTGATAGCTCGCTGTATATTTAGGCTCAAAAGTCACTTAAATATATTATGAATTTAAATAATAAACAAAACTAAATCAGAAACAACACTTGCTGCAGATTTCAGATTATTAACTCTAATTTTTTACACACAAAAAAAAACCTCCCTATAATAATTTACGCGAGATAGGAATACTAGGGTGATCTAAAGCTATACTATTACAACATCCAAATCAAGATTTAACCTCTTGTTGCCCTCATCCTTCTTAACGTTGAGTGGTTTATGATCATCAGCACCATCGGCTGTAGGCGAATTTGCAGACTTTTCTTCTTTTTCTGTCTCCACACCAGACCCCACAGTTCCCTCCATACTTCTTTATTTTATTTTTCTTAGAATGGTGAAAGGAAAATTAATTCCTAGTCCTCCTTACAGTTTAAGGTTAGACCTTGAACAATCCCAGGAAAAAATGGAAAAAAAATAAAAATATATCTGATGGTAAAACCATAGTATCAGAATTCAGAAGCAAGAAAACCCCACATCAAATCTAGAACCCAAAAATTTGAATTTTAGCAGAGCACAGAACCCAACGGTCATGATACGGATTATGGAAAGTGCAGCAACGGCTAGAAAAAATGGTGAGAAGAAAGGAAGACTCCATGAAAGGAAACAAAATATTTCTCTTGATTGGAGTTGAGTAATTATTAATAAGAGTTTGATGTGTATGCTAAGGAAAGTGAAATATCTGGAGAGAGATAACCATTTAGAGAGATTTATGAATGACGAGCCACAAATTCGCGGGAAGTGAAAGAGAGAGGGACTGTATTGAAGTATGTTATTGGATCGAACTCTTATGCAAAAGGAATTCTACTTATTGATTGATAAACGAACAATATTAAAGATTAAATTTGAGTTATTAAACTTAAATTATAGACGAAACTTATTGGAGTTGAAATTTAAAGACCATTTATTCATTATACATTAATATCGCATAATTTTTTTTAAAATATATATATATTTGAATAATACTGTTTATCATAGTTGCTAATCAATATGCAGAGTTATATTTTGTGAGTTTAATTGATTTGTTATTTTAAATGTCGAGGTGTTCTCGACTGAGATTTTGATAAATTTTATAAATCCTTCAAAATTCAAGTGTTCCTAATTGAGATTTTAATAGAATTCATTAAATTTAGGTGTTCCCAATTAAAATTTAGATATTCTCAATAACTCTTCGATTTATAAGGATTTTATTAATAGACGGATTTTAAAATATTTGGATGAATTACAAGCTTAAAATTACATATAACAAACTATTTTAAATTTTCATCATTTTTAATAAGAATTTTATGAATATTGTGAAAATCTATGCAAATTCAAGAAATCCATTAGAATTTATAATCTTTCAAAATTCATTAAAATCTCATTTGAGGATAGATATGACATTTCGATTATTAGTAATAATAGAATAATGCTATTTTTATTTAGATACCACAAATTCCAATTTATCAAGTAGATTGGATTGCTCTAGTTTATCATCAAGAGAAATTAGATAATGACAAATTTTAGCAAGATCTCCTGTGAGATATTTGTGGATATCCCTTTCTTGCATATTTCTCATTGGTATATATCCCTTTCTATTTATTAGATTAAAATTTAAATTAAAATTGAAAATGTCATAATCTCAGGTCTCTAGCATTAGAAAACCGTGTCGTAACTTCATTACAGGGAGATCGAAAGCAGCAGCAGCAAGAGACTTTTGAATCCGAAATGGAGGACATTTTGCATGAACTCATCCAATTCCATCGACTGGAAAGAGAAGCTTGGAGCATTTGATTGATCAAGTAATGCGAAGTCCTGAGAGTACAATGTTCAAACCATCAGCCATAAAAATCTACACGCCTTCAGCAGCATCATAAATTTACTCAAATGTTCTGTTAGGAACTTCCATAGGACCGAGGCAAATAACCTGCGCGAGGAAGGCAGTGATTCAGACGAGAGAAGACCTCAAGCAAAACACCGTAAAGGTCATCTTTAACATTTGATAATTTACAGGGATTATTAGCATTTCCACGTCCAGTTGGGGGTAAGGTTGATTCGGGGAAGGATAGAAAGCAAGTGAAAAATGAGTTTTGAATTTAGACAAGTGCTCATTAAGTTGCAAGTGTTGTAGAATATAACGGTAGTTTTTCTCCCCCTTCCCTTCCGTTCCCTTCCGTTCCCTTCCCTTTTCCAAAAACTGAATGCAGCGTGTGTTAAAAGCATGTGGATATGGACTACAAGCCAGCTACAAAGATCCTAACAAAATTACAAATAGAGCAGTTAGAAAGTTCCGTTGACAGAAGTACAAGGTACAAACTAAACCTAAGGAACATCAGAAACAAGATCAGCTGGACAGAGTACTTATTGACGGTGATGTAGATGCTCTGACCTTCCAATTCATGGAAATATTGCATTCACGAATGCCTCTGCATCAAAAGGTTGCAGATCTTCTATGCCTTCACCAACGCCAACGAACTTCACAGGAATGCCGAGCTCATCTACCACACTAACCTGCAAGAATTTCGGGAAAATAGCTCATAACAGATATTGGAGAGTTAGAAATCATTATAAAGTGAATGAACTAAAAAGAACGAAATTTTTGAAAATGCTAAACATACCACGCAACCACCTCTTGCAGAACCGTCGAGTTTCGTCAATATCAAACCAGTTATTCCAACAACCTGGGTTTGAATGTTAGGCCATATAGCACAGGCACACATTTTATTTGTAGTAGAGGTGGGAAAATAAGTAACAAAAATTTGACTTTAACGGACTGTTATTATGCTACCTAGATAAAGGAATTTCAGGTTTAAGCACCATAATTTCATTTCTGATAGAGCAGGTGTGTAAGCAACCCTTGAGAAAACAAAGTATAGAATATGTTTAACTAACATTTCCAGTTGGACAGGGATAGGAAATATTACATCGTTAAATTCTCTGGCTTGTGGAAGCATGTTTAGACCAGTTGTCCCGTCCAACACTTGTAGGATTTCCTGCAAAAATTATAAGAGAAATATCATGTCACAACAAACGAAAAAATTCCACAAGTTCTTTCGACAAGTAAATGGTGCAAAAGAGTTCAATGTATGGTTGTAGTCTAGGCTGGCCCCTGAACTTCTTTAGTTTTTTTGATAATTCTGCAGTTCATGCATTAAAATTTTTGATTCATTCACAAGAACCTTGTGCAGAGTCACAATTTAATATTAATTTTATGCCTCAAGAGCAATATAAATATTTCTCCTCTCAACATTTTATAAATGCATAAGCACACTCTTTTACACACTTTGATGCACCCATATTCCCTCCCCCTTCCCTCCCCTCCCCTCAGTGAAGAAAATGAAACATAAATAGAGGATAGGAAGCATTTTATCTATATTGCAGGATAATGCATATTTGAATCAAGTTAATGAATTATCGGACTCACAAGCCCATTATATTAATCAACATAAGTGGATAATCATGTAATACTATCACAAGACAGTAATATAGGAAATAAGGCTGAGAATGCTGACATTGGGTGCACCGGAGACAGCTTTTCCAATAGCTTTCTTGCATGCAACCAGTTCTTCCATCAGGCTATAATTGGTATGCAAACCTGAATATCAAAAGAAATCTTACAAAATCCCCCAACACCAACTGTAAAATGTACGTCTGTCAGACTTACGTCCAGATGTGTCGCAGAGAACAATATCATAACCTTGTTCTTTTCCCTTTTTCACAGCCTGTGAAAGAACTACTCAGGGAAAACTTTAACATCATGTGTTAGGAGTATTGGCAACTTAAATCTCATTACCAGACCAATCAGATCTTTACCAGATGATGCTTTTGCATTCTCCTTTTCAGCTACAACAATCTCACAGTCGGTCCTTTCGGCCCATATCTCCAATTGATCGCTTGCAGCTGCTCTAAAAGTATCTCCTGCCGCCAACAATACCTGGAAATAATCTGAAGTGTCAAAAGGAAAAGAGAACCACTTAACCCCCCAGCAAAGGCTAGGATTATGTGTCTCAAAAATACGTCTAATTATTGGAGTGAGCTAGCCAGACACCAGAATCTTGTAATTATTGTAATTTTCAAGCTTTTGGAAATCATATCACTTATAAATGAATGTCAACAATTAAATTACGACTATGTTTTCAACTAGTCATAATGACAAGGAAACAAAATTAAAACACTTATGTACAAAAGGCAGTCTCAAGAATCACTATTACCTCTTAGTTTGAAAGCTAAGCTCAAATAATTATCAGGAAATGATATTCCAGATATAGAGCTTCAATAAAGCAACTAAGGCACCTTACAAACTATTTTCATGATAATATTCCATGATCTGAAAGCCAAAAAAATTAGTTTATGAATCTCATATATTAATTTCAAAACTTAGATAAATCTGCTGATTTTACTGATACAAAATGCACATATAGAAGTTAAGGTTGTATTAAAATCGAAGTAGACATAACCAAATAAAAAGAACTGAAGCAAAATTGAATCATAACCTCACCTTGGCACCTTCTTTCTTCAATCTATTGGCCAGCTTCCCTGCATCGAAAATTTTTGTCAGTTATTGTCGCTTTAGAATCTTCAACATCCTGAGAAAAACAACAAAAAATTCACACATGTTTTGCAAAAGAACTGCAAGAAGAAGCACTTGCTAGTAATAATATCACAAAAGATTAATGACCTTTTTCACAAGTGCAAAATAAAAAGTACAAACCATGAGTTCCCCAAAGATGCTGGACTGATTAAAACAATATATGATAAACATAAACGGCACTGCAGTTGCTCTTTAATAATTACACGTGCAAACCTTTCACCACAGTAAAATCATTGAATAACAAATAGGAATATAGGATTAATGCAATTTTCTCTAAGTGACAAGTGCTAACTACAAACCATGATCCCAAAAGATGCTTAACTTTTATATTTTTTTCTTTACTATGGAAAAAAAATGCTAACTCGACAACAAGATTATGCAACTGCTATAAATAGCCTTTCAGTTGCTTGTACATCCTTCACAAACAACATTTTTGAAGACAGAGAATGCTTCACAGACCCCATCACTACATAGTCGATCTTACCAAGAGATGTAGTCTTCCCACCTCCATTGACACCAACAACCATGATAACAGCTGGTTTCCTAGTAAGCCATTGTCAACAACTAGCAGATCAAAACACGCCCAAACAAAAGAAGCATAAATTTCTGATCTTATTCTAACCTGAAACCCAGTTGGAGCTCGGATTTACGTTTCTTTGCAGTTAACAAATTCAATATACTCCTCTTTAAAGCATCCTACACCACCAAGGCTAATTTCAGGAAATTTATATATTAAAATAATTGGCAATATATAGGACAGGAAATACTTTGAGGACTTAATAGATCTATTGAACAGATAAACACATCAGAATAATAACCTTGATCTCGCTACCGGATTTGAGCTTCCCAGCATATATATCTTCCCTTAAGCTCTCGACAATCTTTATAGTAATCCTCGGCCCAAAATCAGCCACTAACAATGCCTAAAATAAAACGGTAAAATAATACATGAACACAATAAAGCTCCCATCACTTGCATACACCAGCATTTGTTTCTATATTGTCACCAATAAATGCACAAGTAGCCGTAGCCTAAACCTTTCAAGCATTTTATATTTCTTAAGTAAAAAACTAATTTTTTTTTCTTGGAGAAAATTTGCACTTTAAATTTTCTTTTTAAGTTTCGGCTATACAGAAAAATCAGGTTCATTAGAGATACCCAGCTACCAAAGAGAATAATGATCCAGACCCACAAACAGTGGAATTAACCTCTACTGAGCAAATCGAAAGAGCAAAACCCCACCATTCAAACATCCATTTGACCTATTTTAAGCATTACTGCACTAGTGATATAAGAAACAATCAAATAGAACAAAGCCCAGAATCCAAAGCTTCCTTTTAACCCAATTTACCTTGAGTAAGAGAAAAAAATTCCATTTGCTAGGAAGCTCCAGGATATGATACGGAATTTCTAAAAAGCTGATATAAAGGGAAAGAGTAAAAACCTCTTCCAGATTATCTAGAACTCGATCAGTATCAGAGAGATTCCAATAAAGTAGAAGCTCGTCAATGACAGCTAAATTATCTCTTGTTTTAGAGAAACCAGAGAATACTTTTTCCACGTCACTTTTAGCTTTCTCCTTGATTAACCTGCCCAGCTTAGTGAAAAAACCGGTCTGACCCGCCGAGCATTTAAACTGGGAAGTCCGGGTAGGGCATGTAAACACCAAGTTAGTTGGGAGATGAAGGAGCCTAGTTGCAGAATTCGGTGGCGGAAATGGTTGTTTGGAGCGGAGCTGGAGGAGATGAGTAGACAGAGAAGAAGCCATTGATTTTGGTAGCTGATGAACTGAAGTACGGTGCGGGAATGGATAATATGTTTCACTTTTCGACGATGGTACTATTTGGTCAAATCATTGGTCAATGAACCTCTCCGTTTCATTACTTGAACCATTTATGTTATGTTAATATTAATTCTCTTTCCTCTGTCTCTTCCTACCTTACATTGACATAGTTTCGTGTTGGAATTTTACGTTGTTATGTTAATATTTATTGACATTTTAATAACGAGCTGGATTATAACTTAACAATGTCTAGAGACTCAATTTGTTAATGTTGTCGTGACTGGATTATTGGGTTTGGTGTACCTCGTTGGTTCAGACTCATGTCTGAATGAGATGAATGGGAATAATATTTCCTTGATGGATGGAAATGGCTGAGTCATAAGTACAATTTGGATAGAGTAAGTAAAATCTAGACTAGTTGAGAGTGCTTGTAAATTCATTGAAATGTATGGTTGAAAATGAAGTTTGATCATTTATAAGTTTTTAAATCATATATAAGCTTCCCAAATGGAGGCTTAAGCATCGATTTCTTGGTGTAGATTTTCTTCACCTTATATATGTTTGGATTTCTTTAGTTCAATTCTTGAATTTTTGTATCTTGACCGGATTTATGCATGATATTGTAAATTGATTATCAGCTTGTCACTTTAACTTTAGATCAGTGTATGACCTCTAACTTTGTTAATGTTCAATTAAATTTGATCAACGGAAGATAGTTATAGAGACTTATTTTTAATATCATAATAGTGACATGAAACTAATCGTTGGGAGAATCATAAGAAAAAGTTCAGTGCATCAAAAAACATTTTAAAGTTCAATGACAATGGAGAAACACAATCGAAAGTTCAGCGACCAATTGACAACATAATTGGTCCTAATCGGACAAAGTTAATGGCATTGACCAGAATTCTCATTAGTCATGTCGGTAACTTCTTTAGTGAAATCCATTGGAATGATGAACGACTATAATATTTAGAATTTGAGTGTCGATGGAGGAACATTTTGAAGTTCAGCAATCAAAAATGTTATCACGGAGAAAGTTCAATGACAAATAATTAGTAAATTTCGTGCAAATGGTGAGAATTTTCTACTTAAAAACGAAGAAAGAATATAAAAACGAGGATTCATTGAATCAAGAAATAACCATCGATTTTGACAGAAAATTTGGTCACCCAATCAGTACTAATTCAGCCACCAAAATAGCATCATGCGAAATATCAAAGCAACAGCGAGGAGAATTTCAATTAAATCACGCGCCAAACAAGTAAAATTCGATGTAGTGCGTGCCACGCTGGTTGACTAACAAATAATCATCTCACAAATTTCCCTTTGACCTTTCAAACTGCTTTTTTCCCACCTCTTTCTTTGTCGC